TGCTGGATGTTCGGATAGGAGATACAGGAGATACAGAATGTTTTCAATGGCTTGTGAAAGGAACAGGTTTGAGCAAGCAGCCATTACTCGTCCAACACTATCGTACCTTTTACAGTAATCATGGCTAATAGACAATTTGGGATCTATTCAGAGTCAAAAAGCAGTTATGTCCAATTATTAAAACATGCTGGAATAACATCAAGCACAATACGAGCAGCACAACACAGAAATTAAAGCAAATTCATTCCAACAGGCAGAAGCTTTACAAAGCAAATTAATTTGGCAAACACCGCGTTTTTGTTTCTTTGGCAGAGCAACCAGGAAGCCAAGCGGCACTTTAATCATAACCACACACAAAATGATGAAGTAATGCGCTTTGATACAAGCGTGACAAAATATTGTAAAAGACTTCAATGAAGACTGCCACATTCTCATTTCAACTATCACTTAAACATTGAGCTTTTTTTCTTGGAACTAATTAATAAGTGATTTATTATTAATAATTTCAGTGTAGAAGTGCAGATGTGAGAAACGCCATACAAGTACTGCAGATACCCTAAATCCCAAAGTAGAATTCCATAATACCACACTTGCTTTCCAGTTTTTCCTGCTGTACATAACTCCTGATGTTCTAACACCAAAATTGAATATTTCAAGGCAAACATTATGACAGTCTTTTTAATATCCATTTATAATTATCAGCTCATTTAACATGTAAAACCATCAAATGATTTCCCCAGAAAATAAATCTTCCACATGTCAAACCCTATTGCTGTAAAACACAAGTTTAAAAAAAACTTTTTTTTTAGCATGAGTGATGAAATAGTTCTGTAATACAAAGATCTGTCAACATAGGAGATTTTGCCGCCCCCCCTCCTGGCGCAACCCAGAACTCAACAGAAATCCTGAGCCAAGCATAAATGTTCTTGGCAAACTAGTTCTTTGTTATCAATTTCCAACTGTGTAAACCAACTCTCTCAGATAAAACTGTTCAATCTATAATGTGCATATACTGTTAACCCATCTCAGAACTTCAATTTGAAATTAAGGTGAAGTGAAAAAATAAAGCATAAATCAATCAGTCATCAGATGTTGATGATAAATCGAGATGCAATCTTCCTTTTCAGATGGACATTAAAGGAATCTACGACATAATTCAAAAAGCTCCTGGCCAACAATCCTAAAGTTAAATTGATCCTTAACCTCTGGCTCCTTTGTGCGACATAGCTGCGTACAAATTAGCTGCTGAGTTCACTTACAGTCGTTACACTTTTCAGAAACTTCTTTGAAGTGTTTTGAGATGTTGCGACGTGATCTCAAAACACATCAGAGACACTGCCCCGAGTGAAGGGCGCTATATAAATGTATAATTGTTGCTGTGATAAGGCTCAATATCAAATGCAAGGATTATTATTAAATTTATTACATAGATTTGTGCGAATTTGTCTTCCACAGGAACTTCCCTCCGCAAGCCAAACAGGAAGATCCAGAACAAAGAACTGGTTACCAAACGTTTCAGCCCTCTTGATGTCAACAACAACAACGACAAGATTACATTTGTACAGTCAATGGGTATACATGTATACAAATTTTCTCATACACAAAGAAATAAAATATTTATGAACAAGATTTTGAAGAGAACGCAAACAAACCGAAAACTTAATCTGTAATTACTGAAACTTTCTTTTCAATCAAATGATTTTTGAAAAAACTGTACGGTTTTGATTTCAATTCAAATAATATTCTTTTGTAATATTCACAAATGCAATAAACTTAATAAGAATCAATGTCATTCAGTACTTGTCCAACTATTATCATGGGACCCGACTAGGCTGTACTGTTGAAGGGATGCAACTCCAAGTGTGTTCTCATTTTCGTAGAATCATAGAATATTACAGCACAGAAGGAGGCCATTCAGCCGATCGTACCTGTGCCGGCTCTTTGGAAGCACAACCCAATCAGTCCCACACCCCCGCTCTTTCCCCACACACCTGGAAAATTTTCCTTTTCAAGTACCCATCCAATTCCCTTTTGAAAGTTGTTATTTAATCGATTTCCCGTGAATTACTGCGGACTTGCACAGCATGTCACCTCGAAGCCTGTTCAACCCCTAAAGACTCCATTTATTTTCTGCCTAACCATTCTTTCCCCAAGACCTATTTATTTTAAAACAACCTTAAAAGGGTTGAAGAGTTGGGTGGATCCACTCGAATTGACCTAACTTTTCCTTAATATGAACAGGTTTTCAGTTTTGCAACTGCCATCCGATTATACAAATGTAATCTTGTTGTTGTTGTTATTGTTGCTGATTATACAAAAGTTAAAGAAAGGCAATAGGTGTTCAATAGTATGATTTTAACAAGATTTCTCAATAATGTTGTCAGTACAGTGTCTGAATCCTTTCCCCTTCTGGGCCTTTCTATCACCTGAATCTCTCTCTCTCTAACTCTAACACCTTCACTGGATAATTAATAATAATCTTTTTTTGATAAAGCACCTGATCACATTGTTGATATGTCTCAAAGGGCTTTGCTATAAAGTGTAGTGTGTATTTGTAAGGAAACGTGGCTGCCATTTTGCCTACAGCAATATCCCACAAAGGGTAATGCAATGAATGAACATTTTTTGTGTGGGAGGAGTGTTGGCCAGGACACATGGCGAAACTTCCTTTAATTTTCGAAAGGTGCCATGGGATCTTTAAGGTTCATCTGACCAGGTAGACAGGACCTTGTATTTGAGTCTCATTGATGGGACAGTAGCTTTGACAATGCAGCACTTCCCCACAGCACTTCACTGGACTGTCAGCCTGGACTCTTAACTCTTAACTGAGATTACTACCAACTGATCGAGGTTGGCACCTGATCTCATAGACAGATGAAGCAAAAGCAAATGATTCACAAGTTTTGATCAGTGATCATGAACAACAAAGACACTCCAATTTGATTTTAACACTGCTAAATGCTTCTGTGTGCATTTTCTAAAGTGCCTTTGCCTTATATTTTCTATAAACCCACAGTGCAACATGCGAAGGAATAAGGTGGCGAAGGAAATGGTGATTTCCGCATAGCACTGGAAACACTGGAGTGAGAATAAGGTTTCAATTGATATCTGAACACACAAACTCAAAGTAACTCTCCCAACTCTGTTATGTCTGTCTAGGTCTCAAACATAAAGAGATGAATGGTGGTGGGGGGGGGGGGTAATTATATCTCTACAAGATATACCAAAGTCAAAATTCACAGCCTATTTTCTCTGAGAGTCTCATCTTTTCCTCATCTATCAGCTTCCTTCTCTGAACTTTTGTCAGAAAAAGTGCCCACAGATAGACCATGTGCAAATAAATGGTTGTGTTATTTGGCAGCAAATATCCCCCCCCCCCACCCCACCCCCCCATCACCCCAAACCCACTTTCACTTCACTTTCCTGTACTTGTTATTTGAGTGAACCTTTTTGAGAACCAGGGATTTCCTTCACAAACACTGACCTGACTTGGTAACCTGGTCCCTGGGTTAAAAGAGGGGCAAAATGGTGATCCAAACAAAATAACATAAAAGTCAACCCAAAAAGAAAAATCACTGTCAAATCAGTCTGAGGGGGGGATAAGGGGACAACCTGGACATGGGACAGAACAAAAAACACCCAACACAAAGAAAAAGCCTCCTGGTTATTGCCTCAAATTATATAAAACAATAGGGACACAAAAGATATTGTGTGTGTGTGTAAAAAAAAAAGGCACATTGTCTGGGTTTGGTTTCAAAGGAAAATGATTATTTTTTTGTTCTTTTTTGGGGGGAGATCTGGTTTTAAAGGAAAATACACAAAATCGTCCAAATAATATATTAACGAGAGAGAGAGAGAGAGAGAGAGAAACACACACACAACTGAGGATCAGAAATGGACAATAAAAGAGAGAGGAGAAGGGGAAGGGGGGAAAAAAGATCTGGTTTTGTTTGACAATCTGACTTGACTGACAAGTGTTAAGTCGAGAAGCAACACTTTTGGAAAAAAAAACTGGTTAACCCTTCTGCCCAGAGTTTAGGAACTTTAAACCCCAATTGTTTTTGAGTTAGGGGGTACTGCACAAACAGCCCCACACGACAGAAAAGCTCCAACACACACACACACACACACACACTCACACTCACACACACACACCCTCACACACACACACCCTCACACACACAGACACACACACACACACACACTCACACTCCCCCTCACACACATACACACACACCCTCACACACACAGACACACACACACACACCCTCACACACACACACAGACACACACACACACACACTCACACTCACTCACACTCACACTCACTCACACACACCCTCACACACACACACAGACACACACACACACACACCCTCACACACACACACACTCACACACCCCCCCTCACACACACCCCCTCACACACCCCCTCACACACCCCCCCTCACACACCCCCTCACACACCCCCTCACACACACACCCACACACACCCACACACACACCCCCACACACACACCCCCACACACACACCCTCACACACACACCCTCACACACACACCCACACACACCCTCACACACACCCCCTCACACACACCCTCACACACCCCCTCACACACCCCCTCACACACACACACACACACACCCTCACACACACACACCCCCTCACACACACCCCCTCACACACACCCTCACACACCCCCTCACACACCCCCTCACACACACACACCCCCTCACACACACACACCCCCTCACACACACCCCTCACACACACACCCTCACACACACCCCCTCACACACACCCCCACACACACCCCCTCACACACACCCCCACACACACCCCCTCACACACACCCCCTCACACACACCCCCTCACACACCCCCTCACACACACCCTCACACACACACACACACCCCCACACACACCCTCACACACCCACACACACCCACACACAGACAAAAAAAAAGACGTGACAACTCCTTCTGTGGGAAGCCCTTACCTTCCTCTCTGTTGATGCAGTCGATGCCTTTTGGAGTGAGTGAGTGAGTGAGTGAGAGTGAGTGTGTGAGTGGGTGAGTGAGTGCAGACGGTCCCTGTCAGATGCTCAGGGCACTGTCAGACAGACACAGTGTGAGAACCCCTCCAACCTGCAGCAGCTTTTATACGGCAGCTGTGTGTGTGTGTGAGTGTGAGTGAGAGGTTACTCGCGGTCACACTCTCCTCTCCCCGTTGCTCGTGTATCCGCGCACTGCACCTCACATACAGCCCATCAGCAATGCCAATTAAAAGGGCAACGTCTCCAGCACAGACAGACAGACAGAGAGACAGAGAGCACTACCCCCCCCCCCCCACACACACACTCCACCCCCACAGTCCAAGTGGGGGGTGAGAGGGAAAAAGAAAGCGAAGATTGATAACTTGAGGCAGAGAGACTTCTGATCACAAATAAATGCAAATCCCCTTCTGTACCTCACTTCCAATTTTCTCCACTCCTGAAGGCATTGCCTCCCACAGCCGTCCAGTTCACTGCACATCACCAGCTCCCCAGGACCGCCACTGGAGCAAGACACTCACCAGCTTCCACTTGCAAGTGATTGTTGGTAAGATGCTCCACAAGGGTGGGTGAGGAGAGCGAACCCAGCAGAGGTGTGTTCCCCCCACCACCAGGTCGCCCGGTCTCAAGACCTTTCTCTTTGACCGAGCCTTCAGCTCCCCTCTTGACTCTCTTCCCCCTCCTCGCTCCCTCCCTCCCCTCCCCTCACCCTGACCATTCTCCCCCCAATGCTCGGGTCCTGACCCAACTGTACAGCGCCTTGGGACGTCCTCCCGACGTGAAAGGCGCTTTATAAATGGAATTTTGTTCTTGTTGTTGTTGTACCAATGTTTATTGTGAAGTGCTTTGAAATAAAGCAGATGAATACCTGGTCACGCACTCGTACACAAAAACAAACTACATCACCACAATAATAATAATAATAATAATAATAATCCTTGCATTTGATATAGCGTTTTTCACGTCGGGAGGACGTCCCAAAGCGCTTCACAGAACACACTGTAAAGTGAATTGACTGTATATTTGTGGGCGAACGCGGCAGTCAATTGTGCACAGCAATGTCCCACAAACAGTCGTGGATTGAAAATGACCAATTTATTAATGTTTTTGTTTTGGAGGGATTATTATTAGGCTCTGTGTGGAGTAAGGAAACTTGCCCAAGGTTTCGCCCTGACCTGCCTAGAATTGAACTCAGGTCTCTCACTTGCAAAGCGAGTGCTCTAACCACTGAGCTACAGGACTCCACAATTTGCATTTCCATAGCACCCTTCAAGCAGGTAGTGTATCAGAAAAGGAGCAGAGGTGACAAGCACACGGTCGAAGAGGAAAGTCTTCAGGTGTCGTTTGAAGATGAGCAGAGATGGAGGGATTGAGACAAGGTGGTCCAGAGATTAGATTAGTCATTGAAAGCACGTACGCCAATTGTGGAGCAGAAAGGACGAGAGACGTGCAGAAGACTATAGTCAGTCGAGCAAACGTGGTGTGCAGTGGAGTGACGTGTGAACAGAGAGGTAGGGAGGTACCAAGGCATGAACAGAGTGAGAATCTTAAAATGAATTCAATGTCAACATATGGGTCAAAGTAAAACTGCAGATGATAAGCATTTGGCATCTTTCCTCTTTTGCATTTTGAGTGTTCCTAAAATGTTGCCATTTGAAAGTTAACGCCCCAGTCAGAAAATACAGACAATATAATAATAAATAATAATCCTCACATTTGACATAGCTGCTTACCACGTCTTTAAGATGTCTCAAAGGGCTTCACAGGATATACACCAACAACAACAACAAAATTACATTTGTATAGCACCTTTCATGTCGGGAGGACGTCCCAAGATGCTGGACAGACAAAGTTACGGACCCGAGCTGGGGGTCGGGGTCGGGGAGGTTGGAGGGCAGGGGGCGAAGCAGAGAGATCGAAAGCACAGTCGAAGAGGAAGGTCTTGAGATGGGTCTTGAAGGAAGCAAGGGAGGGGGCGAGGCGAAGGGACTGCGGGATGGAGTTCCCGAGGGTGGGGGCAGAGTGGGGGAAGGCCCGCTCGCCAAAAGTGGAGCGAGCGAGGCGGAGCCTGCTGAGTGGAGGGAGTGAGTAGGATGGTAGGGGTTTAGGAGATCGCAGAGGAAGGGAGGAGGAAGTCCATGGAGGCTTTCGAAGGTGAGGACCAGGATCTTGAACTGTATCCTCTGTGCGATGGGAAGCCAGTGGCGAGGATGGGGTGATAGCCTAGTGCGGGCTGCAGAGATCTGGATGATCTGCAGCCTCTGGAGGGAGGAGTTGGGGAGGCCGACAAGCAATGAGTTTGCATAGTCGAGACTGGATGTAATGAAAGCGTGCATAAGGGTTTCGGCGACCTGCAGTGTGAACAATGGCAGAGCCGGGCGATGTTGCAGAGGTTGGGGAAGGCAGAACGGGTCATGGCACAGACATGGGGTAGAAAGGATAGTTGAGGGTCAAACAAGACCCCAAGGTTCCAGACTGGCTTAGCAAGGTGGGGTGTGTAACCATGGATGGTTATGCTTTCAGCACCTCGGGTGAGGAGGCGCTGACGGGAGCCAATCAGGAGAGCCTTGGTCTTGTTGACATTCAACTGAAGAAAGTTAGTTCTCATCCAGGACTTGATGTCCGACAGACATTCTGTCAGGACAGCAGTGGTCCTCGAGTCAAGGGTGGAGGCAGAGAGGTAGAGTTGGGTGTCATCCGCATACATGTGCAAGTTGACCCCTTGTTTGCGGATGATGTCACCCAGAGGGAGCATATAGATATTGAAGAGGAGGGAACCAAGGACAGAGCCCCGAGGAATGCCACACAAGACTGTGCAAGGGCTAGAGGAGAAACCGTTTGTGGAGATGAAGTGGAGACGATGTGAGAGGTTCGATCTGAACCAGTTCTGACATTGCAGCACACTCCCAGCACTTCACTGGAGTGTCAGCTTAGACAATGTGATTTCAAGTCCCAACTTGTGGCTTGAACCCACAACCTTCTGACTCAGAGGTGAGAATGCTGCCAACTAAGCCAGGCTGACACAATAATTATAATTAATTTTACACCTTAACAACCCTTCTGACTGGAGAAATTATTTCTAACTTCTCCCCTAATTTTTCTGCAAACAGATGTATGCCACAAGCAGCTGAGAGCTTGGGTGTATGTTTGGCTCTGGAACTCTATCCCCCAGTGCCTTCGCCGCCTCCTCCTTTTCCTCCTTCAAGGCTGGTCTCAAGACCTTTCTCTTTGACCGTGCCTTCAGCTCCCCTCTTGACTCTCTACCCCCTCCTCGCTCCCTCCCTTCCCTCCCCTCACCCTGACCATTTCCCCCCTGCTCGGGTCCTGACCCAACTGTACAGCGCCTTGGGACGTCCTCCCGACGTGAAAGGCGCTCAATAAATGGAATCTTGTTGTTGTTGTTGTTGTTGTTGTATGTACACTAATGGGAATTAGAGACAAGTATAGCAACTTTGGTAAAGTGTGTTTATTATGGGATTTTCCCACCTTGACCGTTATCAGAGTTGCTACATTCTGAGTTAAGTGAAATATCAGACAATGCATGAATCAATCTGGAATTAAACACTGCCCATTGGATGCAGTGGTTTGAGAAACAATAGTTGCATAATTACAGCTGGAAAACAGATCCTTGCTCAGCAGGTCAGCAGATATAAGCATTCCCCCAAAGGCTAATAATAAGTAAGACAGCTTTTGAAATAAATTCAGTGTTGCATCGAAATGTTTCCAAACACAATGGGATCCAGCATGAGATTACAACAAAATTTTCCATTATATTTGGAGGACAGAATGTTCACTAGTTTTACCAAACAGTGCATGTCTGATTCCTATACAGCAGATTAGTAGGAAGCAGCCCCTTCCTCTCTTCAGAGAGACTCATCATGTTTATCTAATTCCTCAAAAATATTAGGTGTAGGTAGGCAAGAGCTAAGTTTTGCCAGTTTTTCCTGTGAAGAGGTATGAGACATACTGACTTAAAAACTGCTACATCAAATGCAAAGATTATTATTATTATTAAAGGTATCAAGGATCCTCTCCCACAAAAAAACATGGCAACAATTAAATCCACCTTCACCTCAAATTTTAGGTTATTTAAGTTATCAACTTTAGAAACAGCATGAATTTAGTTACTACAACACAACGTTTTGTGGAGCTTAATGATCCTTACATCTGAGATAGCACATTCGCATCAGGAGGGTGTCTCAAAGCACTTCACAAGATTTACTACATAGGACAAGGAATGTGTATTTTATGGCAAACACAGCAGCTTATTTGCACACAGTAATATCCCACAATAGCCATGAAGTGAATGAACAATTTTATCTGGGGTATTGTTGGTCTTCTTCCCTCTCTTTTTGAATAGGGCCATTAGATCTCTAACAACCACCTGAGCAAGAAGATGGGACTTCAGTTTAGTGTCTTATCTTAAGCATGGCAGTTCTGACAATAACAATAATAATCCTTGCATTTGATGTAGCGCCTTATCACATCTTCGAGACGTCTCAAAGCGTTTCACAGAATATACTGTACAGTGAATTGAGTGTATATTTTGTGGGTGATCGCTGCAGCACACCCTTAGCATAGAGTATGCTAAGGATAATCATAGCCTTTACCCTGAGCATACTCTATGTATAGAGTATAGAGTGTACCTTCTGTATCTAAGGTACAGAATCACACTTTGCTGGTTACAGCAATTTGCACTTGTAAAGTTCATTTCACATGGGATGAACAACTTGAAAAATTCAACGGGAATCACTAGGCTATGGGGAGGTTTGATTGAGGATGTTGACTAAAGACATGGTGAAAGGAAGTCAGTTGCAGTGTGCCTGAGAACATTTTAAATCCCAAGGGCTACAACATGACTAATACAAGGAAACATTGTTTGTTTAGTTTATGAAATTTGTTTGCCTGCCTTACCTCCTCTCTTCTATGCCTAAAAACCTTGTTTTTTGACCATGTTTATGGTTACCTCCCCACCAAACCCAGCTCGGAGTCAGGCTCCACCACTGTTAGGCATTCTGAGATGCTAGCCTGCATGGCGGGTGCTATATAAGTGCAAGTTGTTGTTGTTATAAAACTAAGATTTAACACCATCATCATTCTACAGTTACTGTAA